TCGGCCAAACCAGTGCAACAGCGAAGAAGACCCCTCTCGGCCGAGAGAAGGGAGTTCGTAAAGAATGAGGTGTCTATGCTCCTCTCCATCAAACACATTAAGGAGGTGAAATACCCTTCTTGGTTGGCAAACGTAGTCCTCGCACAGAAGCCTCCTACCTTCCGCATGTGCGTGGACTACACTGATCTGAATAAGGCGTGCCCTATGGACCCCTTCCCTCTGCCAAACATTGATCAACTGGTGGATGAGACCGCGGGATGCGAAATCATGTCATTCCTCGACGCGTTCCGCGGATATCATCAAATCTACATGCATGAGGAAGACGCTGAAAAAACCGCCTTCATGACACCCGAAGGTATCTTCTGCTACCTTGTGATGGCCTTCGGCCTCAAGAATTCAGGCGCCACCTACACCCGAATGGTGGCCAGGGTCTTTCAAGCTGTCTTGGGGCGCACTATGGAGGCCTACGTTGACGACATGATCGTCAAAAGCAAGAAGGCAGGCACTCACGCCGACGACCTCCGGGAAATCTTTGCCATCATGCAAAAATTCAATCTCCGGCTAAATCCGAAGAAGTGCACCTTCGGCGTCCAAGGGGGGAAATTCTTGGGCTACATGGTCAGCCGAAGGGGTATTGAGGCCAACCCCGAGAAAATTCAGGCCATCATCAATATGGAGCCTCCACGCAACGTCAAAGAAGTTCAACGGCTGACGGGTCGCCTGGCAGCCCTCAACCGTTTCCTCTCCAAGTCAGCCGAGAGGGCCCTCCCCTTCTTCCAAATCATGAGGAAGACGGCGGGTTTTCAATGGACATCTGAATGTCAAGAGGCCTTCGACGAACTCAAGAAGTACCTCTCCTCTCCCCCAGTGCTCTCCAAACCAAAGGTGGGGGAGACTTTATACTTATATCTCGGTGTTAGCCCTGCGGCTGTCAGCTCAGTACTAATCCGAGAAGAAGACGGCATCCAACATGCCATCTTCTACGTCAGCAAAACCCTCCGGGAGGCCGAACTCAGGTATTCTCCCGTCGAGAAGACGGTGCTAGCCATCGTTTGGACCGTCAAGAAGCTTGGCCACTACTTTCAAGCTCATCCGGTCCAAGTGCTCACTCATCAACCCCTCGGCGCCCTCATGAGAAGTCCCACTAGCTCCTCCCGGATGGTGAAATGGGCCATCTTCCTCAGCCAATACAACATAGACATCCGTCCGAGGCCTGCCATTAAGGGCCAAGCCCTGGCAGACTTCGTAACGGAGTGCACCGCAAGGTCAGCGACAGACGAGGAGCCTTCGGCACCTCTCGATGAGTGGTGGACACTCTATACCGATGGCTCCTCGGCCACCAAAGCATGCGGAGGGGGAGTAGTTCTGATCACACCCGAAGGCTTCCGCGCCTATTACGCCATCCGCTTCTCCTTCAAGGTCTCCAACAACGAGGCCGAGTACGAAGCCCTCCTATGTGGCCTTCGGCTGGCAGCAAATCTGAAGGCCAAGATGATCCACGTCAAGTGTGACTCCAAGCTTGTCGTGGGGCAAATTTCCGGGGAGTACGAAGCCAAAGAAGGGAGGATGAAACAATACAAGGAGGCCGCCAAGGAGTTGCTTAAGGTATTTGACGCACATTCTCTTACCCAAATACCGAGGGCTCAAAACTCTGAGGCCGACATTCTATCCAAGCTCTCGGATGAATCCCCCGAGCACCTCTCAAAAATTGCAAGAATCGAGGAGCTCAGCCTCTCAAGCATCCACGCAAGCCCCATTATGAACATTAACCTGAGACCGGAGGATTGGATCTCCGACATCACCACATTCATCACCACGGGGCAACTACCCCGAGATGAGGCCCGCGCGAGATTGACAAAACTGAGGGCTCCCAGCTACACCCTCGAGAATGGAAGGCTTTACAAAAGATCTTACAACGGCACCCTCCTTCGGTGCCTTCATCAAGATGAAGCCGAAGTCGCTATGGAGGAAGTGCACAGCGGCACTTGCTCAGCTCACCAGGGACCCTTCTCCATGTCCCGAAGGCTCATAGTTCAGGGCTACTTCTGGCCCACGATGGCTAGAGATTGTGCTGATCTAGCCCGAAGGTGCACCGCTTGCCAGCACTTTCAAAAGGCCCCCGGCAGACCAGCGGTCAATTATGCCCCCATCAGTACCGCTATACCTTTCTCCAGATGGGGGATTGACTTAGTAGGCCCTCTGCCGAGGGGTACCTCCAACAACAGGTATATCATTGTGGCCATTGACTACTTCACCAAATGGGTAGAGGCCGAACCCCTCGCCAGCATCACAGAAGCCCGGTGCCGCCACTTTGTTCTCAAAAATATTCTCACGAGGTTTGGCGTCCCCCAACAAATCATCTCCGACAACGGGACTCAATTCGAGGCAGCCCCCTTCTGTGCCCTCCTGGAGGCATGGGGCATCAAACACACCTTTTCATCCGTTGCCTACCCCCAAGGCAACGGGCAAGTAGAGAACGCCAACCGAACGCTACTTGAAGGGTTGAAAAAGAAACTGGAAGCCGAAGGGGGAGGCTGGGTAGAAGAGCTTCACAACATCTTATGGGCCTACCGCACCACCCCTCGGCGTGCGACAGGCGAAACACCCTTCTCCCTATGCTATGGCTTTGAGGCTAAGGCTCCGACAGAAGTGACTCTTCCCACCCGAAGGGTTGAGCAATATGAGCCCGAGGTCAACGACGCCAACATGGCCCTCGACCTTCACCTCATTTCAGAACGCCGAGAGCAAGCTTTCCTCAGGGCCGAAAACTATAGGAGACAAGTCAAGGGCTACATCGACGCCAAGGTCCGCTCCCGGGAATTCCAGGTGGGAGACTACGTCCTCCGACGAAGGGAGGCCAGTCTACCCACCGAAGGAGGAAAGATGGCGCCCAAGTTTGAGGGCCCCTACATCATCTCAGCCATCATCAAACCAGGGACATACAAGCTTAAACGCCCCAATGGGACGGAGGTCCCTAGACATTGGAATGTGCACCACCTTGTCAAATTCTATCAATAAGGCATGAGCGGCCAAGCCCTCATCCCCAACAAGTGTAAATATCAATGGCCCAAGGCCCCATCTGTTCTTGAAGAATAATCAAAAGGCCAAGCCTTCATCACCTACATATTATACAAGCGGCCCAAGGCCCCCTTCTCTCCTACAAATGAGTGGCCAAGCCCTCGTCTCTTCACCAAAATAGGCCCAAGGCCTCTTCCTCTCAGGAGGGGGAACAACAATTTAGGTACCAAGTACCAAGTGTATGGGTCACCCCCATCACTCTTTGAAAACACCAAGTGTTTTCTCACTAAGCCGTACCCCACGAGGACGCAACCATGCATACATTATGCATACTTTTACATATTCTCATAAAAAAAAAAAAAAAAAAAAAAAAAAAAAAACCGGGGGGTGCAATACCCCTCGGCTCCGGCTGGTACCAAGTGCCCCCGGCTATTTGTGTCCCACGCACACAAATAAAACCCTTCCCAGGAACGCTTTCCGCGCCATCCCCCAAGGGGAGGCAGGCAACGGACCATGTCCCGGGCCCAGGATTCGACTTCCACAAACGAAACGCTCCCCGCGCTATCCCCCAAGGGGAAGCAGGCAACAGACCATGTCTCGGGCTGAGGGGACGACTTTCAAAACCGAGGCGCTTTCCGTGCTATCTCCCAAGGGGAAGCAGGCAACAGACGATGTCTCGGGCCGAGGAAACGACCCTCAAACCCTTCGGGATATCGGAAGGTCATTCCCGAAGGGGGAGCCAACGGTTTGTTCCGTTGCCTCCCATATAGGCCAAGCCTTTCCTAGAAACCAAGTTTCTAGATGCCTCTCCTACACCATCTAAAAAAAAAAAAAAAAAAAGATGTGTAGGGGGGAAGGAACTCCCCGGATACTATTCTCCCCGGAGGCTCAACACTTCGGATATATATTCCCGAAGGCTCCTACAAAGGCACAAGGAAATCTCTCAACAACAAATCATCTGGCTACATAGCCGAAGGCTTCGCTACATTAAGCCTTGAAGTGCGAAAATTCCCCCAGAGGCCCAAAAAGAGGGCTCACTACCAAAGCTTCACCTAAATTTGGCCAAGTCCTGAATCTGGCTGAATCAAAGACAACTATGTTCCATACCGGAGGCTACACAAAATTCTAAGGCAAGCTAAATCTATACCTACACAAACCGGAAGGTTCATGCCGAGGGAAGAAGGATCACCAGGCTCATTCAACGATGAAAAGATTTCTAAGTCCACACATTGGCACCCTTCGGAAGGCACTCGTCAAACCGGGGGCTACTCACTAGGTCTGTTGGAGACAAACCTCAGAATTTCACTAAGTCCATAATCTTGAACCCCTCGGTAACCATATGCACCGGGGGCTCAGGCAGTTCCCACGCTCGAAGGTTCACTACAACACCTATTGAAACTTCGTGAAAAAATGGCTAAGTCTGCAAATGGGAGACCCTTCGGGGGGCAATTCTTCACCTTAAGATTCGTGGTCGATGGCTCCCCTAAGCCACTTGGCAATGACCTAAAGCTACACTACTAAACAAAGGATTCCACGCTTCCCGGGGGCATTAGATGCAACTTCACTTGGAAAATTTCCTAAATCTAATTCATCTTAGCCCTCGGTCCTATCGCTACAACCTGGGGGCAATCCCAATGATTCATCACCGAAGACATGCGATGGAATTTTACTTAGGAAATTTTTCAAGTCCACAATCACGAGCCTCCGATGATTCTACAAAACATCCGAAGGGTTCTAATCAAGTTTTACTTGGAAAACCTTCTAAGTCCACAAGCAACGACCCCCCGGTAATTCTACTTTACAGCCGAAGGGTCCTGGTCTGGTCTCACTTAGAAAATTTTCTAAGTCCACAAACTTTTGGCCTTCGGAAAACCAGACAAGGGGAGGAAAAAATACATAGTGAAGAAAGGCGCGCATTCAAGCAGAAGAATTAAAAATGGAGGCAATCATTCATATAACGCAACAAAAAACCCGAAGGCAAACATTCATGATAATTGTTGGGGAGTTGCAGAAATGGCTGTTTACAAATGGCCGAAGCCGATGAAAGACTGATCTATTACAAAGAAATTGAAAACATATATTTCCTAAGGGGCAGCTTCACGATCGCCTTCTTTAGACCTGGAGGCAGCGTCATCTAAGACTTCTTCATCGTCGGCTTCCTTCGCCAGCTCAGAATCCTCAAGCAGCTCCCTTTCCTCACCTTCGGGTAGAGGGATCCGCACATCAGGTTGAAGGGGCGGAAGGCCGTAGGCTTCTGGCTTGAACACCTTCGGATCAATGTTGAAATGCCGAGCCAGCTTCCGATAGATGTTGGCTTGAGTAAAGTACTCACCGCCCTCATAGTAACTCTTCCCCTTCTGAGCTAGCCACATGGCCCCGGGACCTCCAACCCAGGTATCCACCCTCCGCTCCACCACCGAGGCCACCCAATCCTCCAGGTCAGCTGCCATCCAGCCCTCGACAAGAAAAGACTCGACGGCCTTCTTCCCGGCTTCAGCTACCGCTTCGGCCTTGGCAATATCGGCGGCCTCGGCGGCGGTCTTGGCGGCAACAGCGGCAGTTTCCTCGGCTGCGGCTTTCCCCCTGGCCTCAGCATCTTTAAGCCTCTGCTCCGTGGCCTCCCTCTCCAACTGAAGGGCTTCTTCAGCATCAGCAAACTTTTTCCTGAGGACCGCCATCTCCTCATCGGATTTCTTCAGGGCTTCATCGACCTGGGCCTTAGCAATCCTCAGAGCCTCCACCCTTCGAGCCTGCTCACAAACACCGAGGGCAGCCTACAAGCAAATAATAAAAATTTATTAAAAGGTCAGGACACGGGACTAAGTCGGGAGGTAACCAAAGAGATGACCGAGGGGAGACTTACCATGGTGCTATAGTTGGCTATCTTAAAATCGAGGACATCGTCATCCAGCCGGGACAGCACGACCCTGTCTTTGGAGGGCATCACCCCCCTCATGAACTCGATGGGGTTAAGGGTGGAATGCATCACCGCAGTTCCCTTCTTGATCGGGAAACGAATGACCTCTTTCTCCCGGAGGTCCTCATTGGTATGGCCCGAAGGGGAGCGAGGAGGAGTGATCACCGGGACCTGCTCATCTAGGGTCACGACGGGGACATCTTTCTTCTCAGCGGCCCCTTTCCTTTGCTTCTTATTCTCCGAGGGGGTGACGCCTTTCCCGGAGTTCTTTCTTTTCAGCTCCGCCTTGGAACCTTCGGCTTCATCGCCGGTAGCAACAACAGTGGCCCCTTTCGAGCCATCGGTCTTTGGGAAGAAATCATCGACGGGTTTCTGCTTCCCCGCCTCCTTCTTCTTTGTGGGCTCCTTGGCCAGCTTCTTCTTCAGAGCGGCGAAGCTGGCAACATCCATATTGACACCTGCAAGGCAAAAATTAAAGTTAGACCGAAGGGGTCAACCACCAAGGAAGAGAAATAAGGAAACGACAAAAATCCTAAGTACGATAAATCAGACCCTCCGGTAACTACCTCCAATGCCACCGAAGGCTCTCTCGAGGACGGGGTACTGTTCGTCCTTTTCGCCCAGAAAGCGGTACCGCCGGAAGCCTAGGGCCAGCAAGTCTTCGGGGAGAGTAGAGTCCTTGACTGTCACATGCTTTGTAGCCCCCGGCAGCAAAGCCGCAATCTTCTTCCCCTCCTTCTGGAGTGCGGCGCTTCCCACCTTCGGGTGCCGCCTGAAGTGGTTGCGTAGTTCCCCCGGAAATGGATTTTCTGCCATCTTGACGTAGCAGAAGTGATCCTTCCATCCTTTGTGGGACGAAGGAACGTCATCGAAAAGCCTGAAGGGGGCGAGCTGCTGCAGGTTGGCAAATCCCTCGGAATTGGTGTGCCCCCCCCGGCACAAGTTGAAGCTTTGAAAGAAAAGATCGAGGGTCGCGGTTACCCCTCGGGATCGACACAGCTGCAGGAAGCCAGTTATATACGAATGGCTGTTTGGGGTTAGCTGGCAGGGGGCTAAACCCACATACCTCAGGTACTCGAGGAGAAAGGGATGCAGCGGAAACCGGAGGCCCATGGCAACCGACAGCACATGGACCGCAAAACAACCCTCCGGAGCTTGTAACAAGAGATCATTGGGTCCCGGTTCAATCACGGTAGCCGAGGGCCCCACGTGCAGCTGGGTAACGTAGCATTCGGCCCGGTCAGCCCTCGACTTCAGCGCGGAGGGCAGCAGTGTTCAGCCATGAATGCCCCTCGGGTATCCCCACGGGTTTCCCGCAATCCACGGCGGTTTGTTTGCCTTTCTTGGGAGCCTTCGTCTTCTTCCTCTTCTTCCCTACTGCAACACTGAGGGGCTCCGGATCTAATGGCCGGGAGGTGCTCGCTTCACCAGAACCGCGAAGGGGGAGGACGGCGACAGTGACTTCTTGCCTCTCCTTCTCCTCCTCTTCTTCCGCTACCTGCAGCGCGAGGGCCATTTCTTCGTCCTCGATCACCTGCTCGAACTCCTCCGCCTCCAGCTCGGTGCGAAGGTTATCTTGGACCTCTTCGGCGACAGCTGAGTCATTGTTCGCCGAGGACTGCTCACTAGAGGACTCCGCATCCGATAAACTTTCTTGCAGCGCCGACGGCTCCCTCGAGATATCTTGTGAGTCGCTTTGCGAAGACATATCACCCGGGGAAGTTTCGAGAGGATTAAAATACTACTCAAGCACTCTAGCCGAAGGCTCCTAGAAGCTCTAAACACTAGATCTAAAGGAATGGAAGCAAGAAATACGCTAAGGAACAAGAACAAAGGATGAACTGACCTTGGATCGAGGAAAATTCTGGGGTTTGATCGAAAAGGGGACTTTCTCTCTCTAGAAAATTTGACAGAGCTTCGCCTCAAATTCTAAAACGCGCAAGGGGATGAGTTTGGCTTGGGGTATATATAGACTTTCAGCCTCGAGAACTGGGCCTCGATCTAAAAGGCCATCATTACGGGCCGCCGGTTCAACCAATGGGTGGCACCCGCCCCCCGTCTGCCAACGACAGAGCGCCACGTGGAACCCTCTTCCAACGGCTATATTACAACGACTATATTTCGGCAACACTGGGGTGCCTTCGAATGGTAGCCTCCGGCTATCACTCACCACACCTTCTCTACCAGCAAATTTCATCAAACGCCTTCGAGCTTGCGGCAGCGTAAGCCCCCGACTTGTCCGTATTATCACCCCTCGGGTTCGCATCAACACATCATAACTCCTTCAGCCCGAACTTGCCTTCGGCCTAAAGGAGTGGGGGACTGGGATACACCCCTCGGGAATCATGCAGGACAAAAATTCCTCATGCAAAGATTTACAATTGACGCATGTAGCATCCGGGTGAACATCAAAGCAGAAACTTTCGGGTACATACTTCAACACACCCTCCGGCAGAGGTGGAGTATCAAAATTTTTCCCCGAGTCACTTTGCGGAAACGAAGCAGCCCTCATCACAACACATGCGGGAAATACATCTATGCTTCCCTCAGGAAACCCTCGACATGTGAGGGACTGAGAGGAGCCCCCGACAGGCATGCGAAGGTCATGAATACCTTCCCTCAGAAAACCCTCGACCTGTGAGGGACTGAGGGAAGCCTTCGGCAATCAGCAGAAGGCAGTTCTCAAGCAAAGGCGCCCAACCAAACGGTGAAGCCTCCAGAAGAATCAACACAACTACTCCTTTTCCCTCAAGTACCTTTCGGCAAAAGGAGTGAGGGACTCCTGATGGAGTATATGGCCCGGGAACCCCCGGCCCATAGACTCCTACTTCTCCTACACAAGTCCATTGAGCCCAGAGAACAACTCAGGCCCAAATGCAACGGCCCGAGCCTCAAAGTAGCCCAGAACACGCACTGGGGTGCCTTCGGCCTCCTTGGCCGAAGGCTCCAAAACTCACAGGATAGCCTTCTCTGACATAAGAAGATACTGGGAGAAAACGGCGAAAAACATGAGCCCTCGGCATCGGAGAAGCCTTCGGCTGAGCCAAGCCTTCGGCCACACGGTGCCTTCGGCCACACAAGGAGCCCGCGGCTACACAAGGAGCCTTCGGCTGAGCTAGCTCAATCATCGAAGATTCCTTTTGGGGACAGCCAACCACCGCATTTAATGCCACGTCGCATCCACCAACCGCATTCAATGCGGTTGACGTACCACTGCCGGTGCCACCAGGCTGATGTGACCCTTCGGCCGTTGGATTACTGACACGTGTCCTCTCATCGCATTTATTGCTGCTATAAATAGCAGCCCATTTCTCCTTATAAAACATGATCGACATCTCGATTACACACACTGAGTTCATTTAATAAAATCGACTCTCTCTCCTCCTATTTGCTCTGACTTCTCTCTAAGTTATTCCCGTAATAACCCCTCGGATAAGATACCCCCCGGGTAGACTATCCATCAGATGGTATGCATGCAAAATTGCAAACTCACTGAAATCAATTCCTTCCTATTATACTAAGTTAAATCGAAATCCCATCAAATTAAACTTTAGTCATTGAATCCATTTGAAGTTGTGAAAGGATGCTTCTTTAACCACATTTTTTCTGTCAAAGAAAAAGGGACAACACATTCCTAAGCATTTAAATTAGTATGACAATATGAACTTGTAGACAGTTAGAAAAAAAGTGTTCAAAAGGAATCAAAATTAAGTTTATAAAACAGTTTAAATAATAGAACACACAAAAGAGCAAGTAATCCAAAGGACAACTTACCAAACATAATAGATAGTATTGATAAGTTTAATTTGTTCATATATTTTCACTCACTTTTTATAGTGTTTCTTGTCAAACTCGGGGCAAATTGTTACATTTTTCTGCGTTTTTGTTTCATTTTTGTTAATGTTTGAAATTAGTGCTGAAATTTACATTTTTGAGTGATTTGTGTTTAATTCAAGTGTTTGGATTGAGTTTTTTTTGTTCTTATTTGTGTTATCTGTATTTTGTGATTTGTCAAATTTTAGCATTATATTATATTTCCATGTTATTTTAATACAATAATCAAATAAAGCAAATAAAAGGAAATAAAAAACAAGCAGCGTAGGTGCATTTCAAAATCAGAATAAACAAAAGAAAGAAAAAAACACAAAAAAAAATCACAAAAGCAGCCAAGCTGCGTAACAAAGAAAACAAAAAACAAAAAAAAAAAGAGAAAAGAAAACAAAAGGGAAAGAGATCAGATTGGAGAGTCGGCCAGCCAAGGAAAAGAAAGAGGGGAAATAAGTGAAGGATAAGGAGCCGACAAATCTCCAGGGAAGGAAAAGACTGGTACTTTGACTTTTTGAGTGCTTAACCCCAAGAAAAGAAAAGAGGAGTGGGGAGGAATCACCCGGCCAGCCGCAAAAAAGGGACAGGAGCAGTTGGCCACAAAGACAATTCACACCAGCAATATCATTCAGCTGGGGAGTCAATTCTGGATCATATCGGCAACAACTAAAGAAAAAGGGCAGCTCTGGACAGAAGGAAAGAACGCAGACATGGGATAGATCAGATAGCAACTCAGCCACAAGCGATCAAGGCCATCTGCTGGCCGGAGGCAGCTCAGGATGAAAACCACAGCAAGCTACTCCTTGTTCATTCACCTTTCGACTTTAATTTTTAAGGTCTTGTATTAAAATTCATGTTTGAATAATCTCTAAATTTGTTCTTGGACCATTTATAATTTCGAATTGCTCTTAACTTTAATGTTGAACTGCTATTACTTCGAGTTGATATTTTAATGATGTTCATGTGCTATTTTAGCCCCACCTTCATTAATGTTCTTAGTTTCTTGATAATTATGATAGGCTAAATCTTAGGTTTGGATTTGGATAAAATTTAGGTTAATGGGTGTTCTTGAATATTGAGTTGAATTTGGGGAAATCTCTAATTTTTAGACTAGTTGTTTGAGATGAAATTAAGGAGTAATTTGTGAAATTGATCACTTCACTTGTGAATTTTTGGATGATTAATTCTTTCTTGTCTATGAGTTTAGAATTAATTTTAGCTCACATCTCACACACCCTAAACTAAGCCTAGAAATAGAACATGTTAGGGGAATTAAAATTAAATTCTTGTCTATGAGAATTAATGTCACTATTCTTATATTAAAGAAATTATTCCATTTTTGTTCATAATTTAAGACACCCAAGATCCTTAATTCCAAATCTAAACCCCACTTTTAATTAGTTAATTTATTGTTACTAGTCACATTGAATTTAATTACCTTTTAGCATTTTATTTTCGAATCTTGTCTCATCCACATGTTTGCTAGTTTAGTATTTTAATTAGTTAAATTTCTCTCTCAATTTATTTTGCATGTTCACTAGTTTTAGTTTACTCAA